TCATGGGAGATACCCATTCTTCAAGACTCGAAAGAAGAAATTTTTTGTAATTTTTGAAAGAGGAGGATGTCTCTAAACTAATGGGAGGTCTCTTCAATTTTGCCATAATCTCACGCCACTTGTTCGTGACATGCAACTTTCTCTAATAGTGCTTAGTTAGGGATGACATCAATGTCGGGCGGCATGCTTCGCTAGGGAATTTGGAAAGACAAGATATGGATAAAAATATCTTTATTGCTGTTCCAATTTTCCCATTTCAGTAATTTATTATTTTCAAATTATCTTATTTACTTTACTGTGATGTAAACAAGAAATCAAAAATGTGAGTCAATGCGGAAATGGATTTTTAAATACAAATTAAATTTAGAAACGTAAAAATATAAAAATAAGATTCAAGGTGGGATATGAATTTTTAATAACAATATAATTTTAAAAAGATAAAAACAAAAATAAAAGTCATGACGGCGAACCCATCCCGCAGCTATTCCTCACCCCGATTCCTCAATTTTCTATATTGACTCCATCCACTATTAGGATTTTCGCGTTAGAACAAAAGTTTTGAAAAGCTTTATGACCTCAAAATATTTGCTTAGTTACATTTTTAATTTAATTCTTGTTAGGAATAGCTTATAATATTAAGGAAACGGTAATATAAATTATTATATTCTTTCTTTTTAACTCTTTTACATTATATTACCAAGTGGTTGGAGGGTGTGTGGTAATAGATATACTTAATTTCAAGAATAAAAGTTACAATTTCACATATGAACTTGCATTGTAAAAGAAAACTAGCAGTAATGCGTGAAATGTAGACATTACATAAAAACATTTCATTTCTTTACTTGTCCAGCATATCAAAAACAATTTGCATGCTTGGCCGATATTGTGGACTGGAGTGCAGGCATTCAATTGCAAGTTTAAAAGAACACATCAAAATCATCTCTTCTTCTCGAGTGGGATGAAGAATGCGCGGATCCAACAAATCTTCCAACTGTAAATCTCCTTGTGACGGAGTTGTTACGTATTGAATGTATTCACCAGGATGCTTTCCTTTGATCACTTCCAATGTTAACACTCCAAAACTATACACATCACACTTTTCCGTCACCTTCATTGTGTACGCAAGTTCTGCCCAAAAAATAGGGAAAGAATACAATCAAAATCATGTTTCTATGTTCCGTGAATGAAATTTAGGAAAAAGAAATATTACCAGGAGCGAAATAACCATATGTGCCTGCAAGAGAGCTGAAATTCGATGAATCGCATTTCAGGAACTTAGCAGTACCAAAATCTGAAACA